TCCCAAATGAGTGTCCCACAGGAGTGTCCCACAAGAGTGTCCCGCAAGAGTGTCTCGCAAGAGTGTCCCTTGAGAGTGTCCCACAAGAGTGTCCCGCAAGAGTGTCCTACAAGAGTGTCCGACAGGAGTGTCCCACAAGAGTGTCCCGCAAGTGTCCCGCAAGAGTGTCTCGCAAGAGTGTCCCTTGAGAGTGTCCCACAAGAGTGTCCCGCAAGAGTGTCCTACAAGAGTGTCCCAAATGAGTGTCCCACAGGAGTGTCCCACAAGAGTGTCCCGCAACAGTGTCCCGCAAGAGTGTCTCGCAAGAGTGTCCCTTGAGAGTGTCCCGCAAGAGTGTCCCAAATGAGTGTCCCACAGGAGTGTCCCACAAGAGTGTCGCGCAACAGTGTCCGCAAGAGTGTCTCAAAAGAGTGTCCCTTAAGAGTGTCCCACAAGAGTGTCCCGCAACAGTGTCCCACAAGAGTGTCCTACCAGAGTGTCCCACAAGAGTTTCCTACAAGAGTGTCCCACAAAAGTGTCCCACAAGAGTATCCCACAAGAATGTCCTACAGGAGTGTCCCACAAGAGTTTCCTACAAGAGTGTCCCACAAGAGTGTCCCGCAACAGTGTCCCGCAAGAGTGTCTCACAAGAGTGTCCCTTAAGAGTGTCCCACAAGAGTGTCCCGCAACAGTGTCCCACAAGAGTGCCCTACAAGAGTGTCCCACAAGAGCTTCCTACAAGAGTGTCCAGAGTATCCGACAAGAGTATCCAGTTTGACGGCATGAGTGAGACTAGACATGCAAGACAAGGCACGCGGAAGTATTGTTATGATGGCAGAGCTGTTTGCAAGAGTCAGGATAGCACTAGCAGGCGAGTGATCGACATGGTCACGTCGGGCGCGGACGCTAGTCGAAAGTTCAAGTGCTCAAGCAGATGTGATTTCACGACATGTAAGTACCAGCAATGATGCGAATACAGAGCGTTGTGGTTTCTGGTGAGCACTAGATGAAGCGTTTTTGCTTCCCCGCACGAAGCATCACACTAGAAAGAGACACCACGCATGAATCAAAAGACGGTTGCATTTTGGACGCGTTTGAAATAGAAAACGTTGGCAACCCAAATAATATCACGTAGAGTGTGTAGAGAGCATATCCCTGAGCTTGGTGGTGGAGTCACCGGTGTAGGGGAGCGCGATGTCGCGAAGAGGACGTGCGTACACACGACCTCGGACGTTGTGGGCAGATGACAAAAGAAGGAAGGGTTCGTGGCGAGTGAAGTTGACCTTACTACATGTGCTACTGATGCTAGGGTGTTGCTGGACTATTCTTCTACCTATGACGACCTGGTGGGCGATCCTTGGTATGATATTGATACCTAGCACACTGCGATGCGTGGAGCTGCAACACGGGACCTTGCTACCGCGGCCAAAGGTGTTGCTGGTGGAGTTCGCGCAACTATTTCCTTATCATTGCATTGGATTCTCAGACATGGGTGACATGATGGAGCCTAGACTTAAGATCAATTATTTGACGCGCGTCATAGCTACCTGTTATGTTGCAGCGTTCTTCATGTCATGGTAGTGCATTAGAGTAACAATATTGTTTTACATTAACCCACGTGGTCGATCACTAGTCTGTCATGCATACTCCAGCGAAACTAAGGCGTTGTTGGGTGTATGTTTTTGCTGCGCCTGGTGCATGGGATTGCACGCCGAGACCCTCCGAAGCTGTCGAATTTACACACTCTTGCTGATCGGATGTGTATCGCATTCTTGGAAGCTGACGTGGCAGTCTCCTGTTTTGTATATCCTCCTATTTTCTTCATATCTATTTCCAATATTTCCTCCAAAGAAGAAATCGGATGTCGAGAAAGCAGAGAGTGCCCGCGCAGAGTTGGATGAGTTCATACGAGTACACGGAGAAATACCGTCGCAGCTGTCTGACTTATCCCAGAGTCGGGCAATCTATTCTAAATTGAGACGGCTGAAACTTTTGCACTTGCTGAAGCAGGAAGAGTCTCACGTAGCAGTTTGTAAAGCCACAGACACATTTTTCCAGAAGCATTCGCGGCTACCGAAACGACAGAACCCAGACACGGATGAGCGACGAGCAGAAGACGCCTTGGCGCAACGCTGGGATCGTCTGTTGGCACAGAGAGCCTCACTGGGAAATGCTCTACTGACTACCTATGAGCGACTGTTCATGGCTGCCGACGTGGAAGATGCAAGTGTTGTGGTTGATACCTGCGCAGCGGTTGAAAAGTTTTTCGATACCCAGCAAAGATTGCCCAAGCGACAGAACCCAGACACGGAGGAGCAACGAGCTGAGGACACCTTAGCTCGACGCTGGGATCGTCTGTTAGCACAGAGAGCCTCGCTGCCCAACGAGATCCAAGAGAGACACAGAGACTTGTTTGACTCTGCTGATATGACAGACACAGATGCTGTTTTTGCTTTGTGCTTGAGCGTGCAACATTTTTTCAACTCTGCTGGTAGGCTGCCACGGAGACAGGCAGTGAACGATGAGCAACAGCATGAAGAAGATTGCTTGGCGCGGCGCTGGCATCGACTGCTTGAGAGACACGACT